AAGCTCATCAAGCCTGACTCTCTGGTGAGCACAATAACACCGTAACAACTAGCGCAAAGGATTTTTGCTCTTTTTGATACATCACTACTGTTTTCGTTGGAAAGTAAAGACCCCTATTTTACAGTCAGCGACTTTGTAATTATTATGTTGTCCGAAAAACAGTGCAATTTTTCGAGCTCTAACTTCAAAACGAATATCCCGGCCTTGAAGGAACTCTCCAAACGGAATAAGGACCATATAAACCTACCATATGTATCAAGAAGGGATATAGAAGAACGTATTCCTCCAGCGCGAAATACTGATGGTCTCCAGTTAACGAATTTGGTGGATGGTTCCCACATGGGCTGAACTTATGAGAGATTCCGCGCGCAGAGAAATATACAGGTGTTTGAAGAACTGGTGACTTGGTGAGGAGGAGGTGGGGGAGATCTCGCGAACATTTTGGACAAATTTCGATGATAGTTTCTTAGTTCGTTAGCTCGCTTAAACTGCAGCACCCGTTATGCACCATGTGCCGCTCGTTTCGTAGAGATGGAAGAGTCTTTTTCCTCCGACTAGAGTGGGGGTGGCGTCGAAGTTTTTGGTATTTCACAAGTCCTCTGATTTTATTTCACTGCACCGGTCCATCAGAAGAATTCCATCACAGATCATCCACCACTGAACATCACCTTCCTTTGGTGCACTTTGGTTCAGAGAAGGTTTGCTAGGGTTCTCTAGGCCCAATGAGACATTCGTGGCCAGCTATGCTAAAAACCTACCTCTCATCACACGTCACAATGCGGTCCTGAAAAGGGTCGTTCCTGTTGCGAAGGAGTACTGATGAAGACATCTCATACCGGCGACTCCGCTGCTGCTCATTCTATTCCTATGGCACAAAATTGTTGGACTCGTTCTACTTCCCAAATTTTTCGATGCGTTTCGAAACGGTCAATATATTAGGTTGGCGGGAAAGTTCTGTCATACTTTTTTGAACCCAAGTATTCGCCTATTACCTGAAGAGGGCTAACCAGTAATGTGAGCATTTATAGATTAAGGATTGGTCTTCCTACTAGTGTCACTGGCTCGGCTCCTGCTCATCCTTATTCTGTATTATGGTCAAGAATGTTATCCGCTACCTTCAGCACCG